AAACTAAACAGCAGTGACGTTTGTAGGGTTACTGAAGTTGGACTAGCTGGTATATAATGATGTGCTACGTGCTCACTAGCGACACAGCTATGTTAGCATAAACACAATGAAGCTGGAGGATGAATGCTAACTTTTTTCCACTCAATAAAAGTTAACGTGAGGTTTCCTGATGGTTAGAGACAAATGCAGAACAACTGAGATAATCCATCCACAATACGAGGTTAGTCATTAATATACTGTAACAACACGGGAATAGAGCCGCTGCCAGAGAATTCAGCATTAATGAATCAATGGTACGGAAGTGGAGGAAGCAAGAAGAATGAGTTGAGTAAAGTTTGACTTATCTGACTGCTTTGTTTCACTTAATGCGCCTTATAATCTGGTGCGCCTTATGGTCCGAAGAATACGGTACACGATAAAAATTCCCCAAATTATATTTATATGCATTATTTACCCAAAGACATAAGTTTCATTGTATAACCAACAGGAGAGCAGTGAGGCTTTGTAGAGGATTGCTGCACACTCTCAGCCCACAACACAGAGACCAGTGGTAACTGTAAGGATATCCATCTGAAGCCAGATTAGGACCTGTAACAGCGTTGATGCATTTTTCTGTGTCAGGATGTGGTACTGTCACCCCACCTGGTAGGTGGACAGTGTGAACACAAGTTGCGGTTTGAAAAGGTTAAAAGCAAAAATATGTTTGGCAGTAGAAGCTCTTCAAATATGAGCAACCCGGACAAACACCAAGCGTGGCTTTTGTAAAGCTTGATTAATAGCAAGTAGAGGCATAAAGGCACTGAAACAAAAAGGTCCACTCAACATAAATTCCCTTCAATGTCAACAGCTGCCAGAATAATGTGCACACTGTATGGCATGAGGGGTACAAGTATGTGTATGATGGACTGAAGTGTTTTGCATCAATCTTGCAGTGTGTTTTTGCATGTGTGTGTTCTGGTCTCAAATGGTCCGTGTCTGTTAGGGGAGCACCAGAATCAACAGCTCTGACAGTATCAGAGGGAGATTTTATCAAACACAGCTCATAGTGGGGGAGTCGGAGACAAGGGTGACACCTCAAAACCCAGCTGATGATGGAACGGTCCAAAACCTACGAGAACAACACAGAGATCCCATTCATGGATCAAGGTAAACATCGGGGTTCTGACCAAGAGATGGTGGAACTGGGTTTGAATCGGTAGGCCAAGATCAATAACACCAACAGATTTAGACCCAAAGAAGACAAAGCACAGCAATGTCAGCAAAGTGGTGCTGGCTGCTAAATGCTACAAAAATTCAGTCCCAGAGCTTTAAAAACGAGAACGCAGGAATCATGAATCAGATATAAATATAAGGTTAAAGCCTTTGTAGAACATAATGTATGTTTTCCTTCTCAGTTAGGCAGCGTAACAAAATGCTATCTTTAAAATCCCATTACTGTGTTCTTGAGTGTGAAAAACACTGATGTCAAATTACATGGCTGTAAGTTCGAGTGCGTGTGGAGGAGAAAAAGCATGAGCCTGCATTTGGATTTGTTCCTTTTATTGTTTTCCTTATGATTAGAAAGTATGCGACGTACAGC